TAGCTTGAACACTTTCAGTTTCACAGATAACACACACGTTCTGTTATCTGCCATAAAGCACATGCTCGATATCCCAGTTCCTAGGAACCTTATGAGGCATTTCAGAGGACAAGCGTTTCTTTCACACCAGACTAAACTCAGCCTCTTTCTAACTCCCCAAAGGCACGAATGGACAATCAGGTCATTGGATATAAAGACTTGGCTGCCATTCCCAAAGACAAAGCCATTCTTGAGGTGGAACGGCCAGATCTGATGGTGTACGAGCCGCATTTCAATATCTCAGCCCTGGATTGTATAGGTCTTTCCAGAAGCAGAGAGGTCAGAAAAGAACGAGTGTCTCTTTAGATCGAGTCTTTGTTTCATTGTACCATCGGGAAGCATTTGAGAAGCTTTATTGTACGTTTTACATAAAGTGGAATCAGTATGTGTGTTTTGGTGAGCAGGAAGCTGAATATAATGGTGAGATGTAGCTTTAATGTTATTAGTCAAGCTTTGTTATGCATGGGAAATCATTTGTGTGTAAAAGTGACACAGAGCCATTGAATGTCAGGCGTTGAAGACGATGCATGTATGAGTGTGTGTTCTGTTTTCTCTCCTTGTCTCCCCCAGAGATCAATGTCACCTCATTCTGTCTCGCCTCCTCCTTCCCCTGAGGTGAGCCATCAAGCCTCTGTTGATCAGGTCTGACACTAGTCACCGATCACTAGCTTTAACTGCCGCATTTATCTTCCTGCACACTTCCAATGTGATTGTTTTACTGAGCCACTCAGTTAAGGATGCAGCCACTGTAAATGACTTTCACTTTCAGTTTTGTATTTGAACTGTTTGCCAAAGCAAATATGACACAGAGTCTTTAGTTATGTTTAATTAATGTTAATAATAATGTTAATACTTGAAATGTATATGGTCTATTTTTCAGTCATCTGCCATAAATAATTAGCAGCATATTGTTATCATACAGTATTTTAATATGATTTAATTTTTATTATTTATAATTATTACTGTTAATTATAATATTATATTGTAGTATTCTATTTTTTTTAAGTAGTCAGTATGAATTAATACTATTAATCATTAACATTTATTAATCATAAGAGTTAAATTAGTCTTAATATTATTAATTTGTGCTTATTATTATTATTATTATTATTATTAATTATAATACTATAGTATTCCGATATTATTGTAATATTGAATATGAATTAATATTATTACAATTTAATTATTTTATTTTAATGTCTTTAATTCACATTATTGAGTTTCAGTCATATAAACATAAAAAAAATATTATTTAGCAAATCTCAAAAGGAATACCCACTTATTATCCATATTATTTTTTATATTAGTTCTTAGTATTTAATAAAAAAAAAAGGCTGAATTGTAAAACAGGCTACTGTCGGGCATATAATTATTATTAGCCAGAATTGTAATATCATGAATTTTAATATTTTTTATTTTTTAATTATAATACTATTCATTATAATATTATATTGCATTATGTATTTTTTATATTGAATACAAATCTGACAAATCTATTAATTATTAGCACTATTAATCAGAATATGTCAAATGTAGTCTTTCTTGAATGATTAATATTATTAATTTGTATTAATCATTATACTTTTGATTATAATAGTATATTGTAGAATTATTATGTTGTAATACTGAATATAGATCAATAATATTAATTAATTAATTATAGTTAAGAATTATTTAATTTAATATTAAAATATTCAATTTAATATTATATTATATTTTATTATGTTATATTTAATAATAATATTTAAAAAATAATGTATTTTATATTATTACGGTGCAGTCATATAAAGAGTATTCAGAGAATTAATAAATCTCAAAATGAATATCCACTTATTATCCATAGTATGTTTCATTTTTGTTTTTAGAGTTACATAAAAAATGCTATTTAATTTTGATATCGACCATGAATTGGTTATTGGCAATAACATAAAATAGCATGTCGCTCTCATGAATTTGAACATGATTTAATTAATTTTACTTTTAATTAATTAATCATAATTAATACAATCCATTGAAATATTATATTGTAGTATTCCAATATTTTTAATATTGAATATGAATCTGAATTCATACTGTTACAGCATATCTGTATCAGCCAGAATTGTAATAGTGTGCATTGCTAATAAACTACATTTAACTAGAACACTGAACAGTGGAATCAAATGGCATTCTGCTGCTGACCACCGTTAGCATATTTTACAGTAAGGCATGAGTTTGCAGTGTCATATTATTGATACAGAAGGTAAAATGTGATGTTCTGGCTTCTGTTAACATGCTGAGTGCTTAACTTATGTCCACTCGTATGATCAGGATTGAAACATGAAGTCATGTTACCATAAGCAAATGCTTCATTACTAGCATTCCAGAATAATAGAAGGTTTATGCAATTCCCGTTTCTTCAGATATTTGCCTCAAAAGAGTCAAAGGAGTGTTCAGAGCAGGGGTCGCCAGGAGGCTCCAACATGGACTCCACAGTGCAGCTCCGCAAAATCAGCCCCGCCTCCAAAGGCTCCATGCAGCACTTCCACAGGCCGGGTACGGTTTTATAGCACAACGACATTCTTCAGAATCATTCAGATGTGTGTGTAACTGTACATGCATTTATCTTTCAGACAGTGGCACCAACATCTATAAGAAGCCACCAATTTACAAACACGGTATTTGTTCTTTTATTATTTAATATATAGACTTTTTTGTAGTTAGTGATCTATACCTCACTTTCATGTAGGATTCTTGGTTTTCCGGGGTGTATTAAAAGATGAACTGGTCACATTATGCTGCTGATGTTTATCTTGTCTCTGTCCTCAGACGGACAGACGGGAACGTCTCATAGTAAACATGATGTGATCATTGAGTCCTCCAAGTTCCCAGCAGCCCAGCCGCCTGATCCCAACCAACCTTCAAAGATAGAGACCGAGTACTGGCCCTGTCCCCCCTCTCTAGCCACTATGGGTAAATGCTCAGCAGCTTCATATTTCTGTAGCCCCTCCCACAATGACAAGTGTGTCCTACTGCTATTGCAGCATTAAAGAAGCTGAAGCTGAGGGATGATTAACTTTTTAGCATATGCGTGTTTAAATTGTAGTCTTATTTTTTTATTATTATGCAATATATTGTAGTATTCTGATATTATTGTGCTATTAAATATGAATATTAATGAAAACTATTAATTATTAGCATTCATTAAAATAATTTTAAATGATTAAAATTGTATTACTTTTTATTATATAATATTACAATATTCTAATATTATTGTAATATTAAATATTAATTAATACTAAATCATTACTATTAATAATGAGTATTAACATTATTAATTATAATAATTAAAATGTAGTCTTTCTACATTGATATTATTATTTATTTAAAATTATGGTTAACGTGAATTATATTATATTGTTTGTATTGTTCTAATATAAAATATGATTATAAATTTATATTAACTAATATTAACTTTATGATATTGTCTGTTAAGTGGTACATGCAAGTTTTTTTGTTTTGTTTTGGGGTTTTTTCCCCTAAAATGCTCTAGGAAAATAGTGTGAAAACTAAATGCAGGAAACTTCCTGTCACGTCGTGTTAGGACACTTTATTAGGCTGCAGTGATTAAGGAAACGTCAGCATGACAGTATATGAAATATTATTCATTGGTAATCACGCATACACTCTTTTACATCTCCTGTCAATTGCTCACAGAGATCGAGTGGCGGAAGAAGGCAGCCGAACAGGGAAAAGCGATCGAGGACGATGAGTTTGAGGACCTGACAGAAGATGCGAAGAGACTCCAGGAACAGGAACTTCAGAAGGTGCCCCACATCAAGACATCAATACTGTTAGGATTAATATGTCTGGAGATTGTCTACAATAAATCAGACGCTGGGCTGGGAATATTTTCTCTAAGGCTAGATGATGAAGGCTATTAGACTGAAGAGAGTGCTGGAAGGATACGCACGCACAACATGAGGCCAGCGCTTAATGGAGCTCGCTAATCATGACTGAGCTGTTTGTTTTTCAGATACAGTCCAACTTGGGCAAATTGATCCTGAAGGAGGAAATTGAGAAATCAGTGCTCATTCGCAGAAAAACACGTTCCCTGCCAGATGGGACAAACATACATTTGGGTATGTCAGGTCTGTTTTAGTCTTAGTGCACTTCAACATAAAGTAAGTGCTTTAAGTTGCTTCATCTATTGACATTGTTTCATCTTAAAGATTTTATATCCGAGTTTGCATACAAATATTAAAGGTTCTTTATTGGCATCTATGGTTCCATGAAGAACCTTCAACATCCATGAAAACTTTCCATTGCAAAAAAAGCCTCTTCAAGTGTTCTTTACTTACACTAAGAAAAAGTTTTTTTCTGTTAAGAGAAAAGTTGGTTTGGGAAATCACTCCAAAATACCCTTTCAAAACATTTATTTTTAAGAGTGTATATACACTGCAGTTTGCTGATCTGCCTTTATACATCACAGTGAATTTGTATGGTGCGTCTCATAGCATTCCTACCAGCAAGTCACAGAGGACACCCAGTGTTCAAATGACGAATTGCATTTGTGTGAATAGAAATTCTATTGAGAAATGTCTATTTTGCCTGTAATTAAGTTTCATCTACATTCATTGCAGGATCATCAGCCAGTGCTACTAAATCCACCTCTTTACCTCCTTGCAGTCAAACAGGTCTCACAAGGGTAAGAGAAAATCATCTTCAAAGGGATAATATTATACATTTTAATCATAATTTGAATTTGCCTATAATGTTGATATTTTTTTTTTTTACATTTAAATTTAAAATCCATAAATACTCTGATTGTTAATATTAAATATGAATACTACTACTAATAATTATTATTATATTTCATGATTTGTTCATAAAATATAGTCTTTATATATATTATATAATACTAATTATTAAAAAATGTAATATTAAAATGTAAATAAGTAAAACATTTTGTCATATTAATTATTATTAATTGTAATAATTACATTAAATTTTTCTTTACTGATTAATATTATTATATTAAAAACGAAAATTAATAATACTATTAATTAACATTATTCAATGCAATAATTAAAATGTCTGTTTACTGATCAATATAAAAAAAATTTATTTGTAACATTAAATATGAGTATTCATTCATAATATTAATTATTAGCATTATTAGTTGTAATAATAAACACGGAGCCTTTCTTTACTGATTACTATCCTACGTTTTTACTTGTAATATTAAATATGAGTATTAATTCATAATGTTAATAAGTAACATTTTCCGCTAACTGTCGTACACGCGTTCACGACAGAGTGGCGTTCCAGCAGATGATGTAGGCGTAGGAAAAGGAAAACCAGTCTCTTGGCTTATATCGAAATCTTCAGACATTTTTCTTTACAAATCCTCGTTTTGTACTTCTTATTCGTGACCGGTGTTTTGTTTTGCTCTCTCCTCTGCGCTTCCGTGGTCATCACTTACGCTACGATTTATGGGTGAACTGTCCCTTTAAGACATTAAAGCTCTTTTGAGTCTCTAATGCGTGTAATTGTTTCTCTTCGTGCATGTAGCTCCAGTCTGCAGACTTCACCTCCACAGACAATGAAAAAGCAAAAACAGGTATGGTCAAAATGTTTAGTATACATAAGCAGGGTATTAAAGCAGCACTATGTAACTTTTTCTGTGTACAAAATTTGCTAAATGTATATAATGAGCGAGTACATCATGAATTAATCTTCCAAACCGCGTTTTTGTGTGCAGTTCTGTTTATTAACCGCTAGAGCGCCAAAAGTTACATAGTGCTGCTTTAAAATTCTCATTATTTACATAAATGTTTCTGCTATAATTTCAATTATCAGCATAACAATTTGAGTGAGAATTAAATTGAAATTAACACGAATATAAGAAAGTATTTGATTTAATGACTTCTAATGTTACTGTATTTTTTTATCATCTTTATTTTTCTTTCTATGTTCCTCAGGTGTACAGGTAAAATGGCTTTGTTTATTCGATTTCACAAGCATGGCTGTTGAGTTTTCTAATATGCCAGCAGCAGCTAATAAGCTCTGACATAGAAACCACATCCTGTTTTTATTCGTGATAGGAGTGTTTGGAAAACAACAATAACAACATTAAAAATGATTGGATATATTAAATGAACATAAAATAAACTACTTGCTTATTTATTTATTTGTGATTACGTGTTTGGGGACGTAATATAATAACAATTATTAAAACTATGCATTAAATTATTTTTATGAAAATGCATAAATATTTAATACATTTTTATATTTTTTTAAATATTTAAATATTTAGAATTTTTTCATATTTTCGAATAGTTCATTACTATTATTATTATTATTATTATTATTATTATGTTTTCCAAACACTCCTACAACAAATAAATAAACAAGTATATTTAAAAAAAACAAATATTTTACTTAATTTTAATATTTTCAAATAGTTTATTATTATTATTATTTTTATCATTACATTTTTCCAAACATTCCTACTACAAATAAATATATAAATACATGCAATATTTGCAGAAGTGTAGTTGGGGATGTTTTCCCCTGTCCTCTATAGGATTTTGCCTCTGACCGCACATATAAACTGACTGATTGTTTTTATTTTTTCATTAAAAAGCGGCATCTGTCTCCAGAGGAATTCCAGAGCTTATTCGGAATGTCCATCACAGAATTTGATCGTCTGTCACTATGGAAACGGAACGACCTGAAGAAGAAAGTGTCCCTTTTCTAACATTTGGACATTTGGACTTGGACACTGAACCCCTCGCCCTCCAGAGACGCCAGTAATGTTCACTCTAATCTAATACGGATGCTATGCAGACATTTCAGGATAAGCAAGGAAGATGACGCCACATCACCAGATGTTATTTCACTCACATATACAGTAGTCTCAGCATCCCTACAGTCGCTCCATATGTGAACAAATCAGATTTCATAAACCGCTCCAGCCGTTTCTTTACGCCTTACGTCTATTTCAAATTCTTAAAGTGCCCAGAGATGTTTATAATAATAGGCCTATATATTTACACAAAGTTTTAATCGTAAACATCACTTTTTTTTTATTGTCATCACTATTACACTATAAACTTAATTTATTGTATCCAAAACATGTATGGCACTGTACATATATCATGTTATTTTTATTTATTCTTGGTGTCGATATGTAAAAGTTCAGCTTTAACAATCACTAAATGAACATTTCTAACATCTAGCAAAAATTAAATGTTCATCATCATTCATTAAAAAAAAAAATGCATGGACACTAACTCTACATAATTTATTCAGTTTTACAGATAAGAGCACTGCGATGTATGACTTCTATTCGTGCTAATAGCAACAGTGTTATATTGTGGACTTATATGAAATATCTATAGCTCAGGCTTGCTGGTAAGCTCAGGTTTTGGGTTCCTGTACACTGTTGGTGCTTCTTACAGTAGGTTGTAATTACTGAACAACACTAGAAGTTCCACACAAAGCCACTTCATTTACTGTCTATTGTCGATGCACACTTACGTTTTTACTGCCTTTAGTAGTTGGTCTCCATTGCGGTGTCTTTTAAAATGGCATAGGTGTTATCAAATCAGGCATTGCACGCTTACAATGGAGACTGTCCAACGATTATGTGTCTGTTCATAGTTCTGTGTTTCATCACCGTTTTTAGTAACATGGTGTAATGTTGAAAAAATAAAAGCTTCATGTTAGAATTTGTGTCAAGCAAACATTTGTTAGGTCAGTTCACTGAAAAAATATATGTTGCATTAATATAATAATCTGCTAACTACACACATGCATTGTTTTGTATTAAATAGAACACTACCGTTCAAGACTTTGGGGTTTCTAAGACTTTTTAAATGCTCACAGAGGGTGCATTTATTTAATCAAAAATACAGTAAAAATAGTAATACTGTGAAATAGTATGACAATTTAAAATAAAGGTTTTCTATTAGAATATATTTTAAATCTTTGTGATGCAAAGCTGAATTTTCAGCATCATTACTCCAGTCTTCAGCTCAAGAAACATGTTTTCTTATCGATGTTATAAACACTTGTGTTTACTATTTTTGTGGAAACCGTGATACTTTTTTTCAGGATCCTTTGATGAGTCAAGAAGTTCAAAAGAATAGCATTTATTTGAAATAGGAATGGTTTGTAACATTATAAATGTCTTTACTGTCATTTTTGATCAATTCAATGCATCCTTGCGGAATAAAAGTATTCACTTTAAACGGTAGTGTACATTTACACAGTACATTGTAAATGTAAGCACTTACAATAATTTACCAATCTACTGGCGTCATTTTAGCATTGTATAATGACCACTTTAAGAGAAAGAAAAAGAACTGTGTCAGTGTGCCAAGTATTCACCGATTTTAATCAACAAATGAGGGCATCACAGTTTTAATTACAAAGTTTAAACTATTTAGTCCATTTATCTTTTTTCAAAACCTAATTAACTTCCTATTTAGAGAATAACAGGCACTGGCAGCTTTAGAAAAAGTGCTTTCCTTTAGTCTGTCACTGAACACAAGGTGTCAGCAGTGATCAATACTATCACTAGGCCCAAAACAGTACTGAGAAGTGTCTAGTGACTCTCTCACACTATACTGTATGTATATGTATATATATATAGACAGAGAGAGAAATAGTTTTTAAACATATATAGGGCTACATTAAAAAAAATGCCTCAAGTTGCATAATGGAGCAAAAAAAGTGGCATTCTGTGCATTAAAGTTAGAGAAAGGTAAGGAAACACACAGTGGATCAACAGGGTGTTAAATGTCCAAATGTTGGAAATAATTGACCACGCTTTTGAAAGTTTCCTTCTACTTACTAAACTCTCCTCTCTCCTGCACCACCTCAGGAAACGAGCTGTCCATAATGTGGAGCTGAACTGGATTTGCAGGAGCGCTGCTGCGGATCTCACTGTGTGATTAGAGAGGCAAACCCTCAGGTGGCCCATCAGGTCATTAGACTTTGCTGCCATGCCTTTCACTTTCTGGAGGTCTAAATGGGCTTCTGGCTGTTTTACTCCCACAATAGAATGACTGAACACAAGGTGTCAGCAGTGATCAATACTATCACTAGGCCCAAAACAGTACTGAGAAGTGTCTAGTGACTCTCTCACACTATACTGTATGTATATGTATATATATATAGACAGAGAGAGAAATAGTTTTTAAACATATATAGGGCTACATTAAAAAAAATGCCTCAAGTTGCATAATGGAGCAAAAAAAGTGGCATTCTGTGCATTAAAGTTAGAGAAAGGTAAGGAAACACACAGTGGATCAACAGGGTGTTAAATGTCCAAATGTTGGAAATAATTGACCACGCTTTTGAAAGTTTCCTTCTACTTACTAAACTCTCCTCTCTCCTGCACCACCTCAGGAAACGAGCTGTCCATAATGTGGGGCTAAACTGGGTTTGCAGGAGCGCTGCTGCGGATCTCACTGTGTGATTAGAGAGGCAAACCCTCAGGTGGCCCATCAGGTCATTAGACTTTGCTGCCATGCCTTTCACTTTCTGGAGGTCTAAATGGGCTTCTGGCTGTTTTACTCCCACAATAGAATGACTGGAGACAGGTCACATGACCACCTATGAGTCAGATCAAGACAAAGGATCGCCGCAGGGAGCCAAGTGCTCGGAAAAAATACCACCTTCTGTGTAGCCGGTTCCGAGCCAGCCTTACTTAGTGCTCCATTGTGCTTAACTTTAACATGGCGCACACGGCTTAGAAATGGGGGAAGAATTTAGTTAATGAGTGTGGGTTTTGGAAATGAATGACAATTAATGAAACTGCGCGAATGAGTTGAGACGGACGTCATCATTTACAATGCAAAGATATGAGAAGTAAAGCCTAACATTCTCCATAATGCAGCATGAATTCAGACTGTAGGCCTACTGCTTTGAAGTTTTGGCACTTTCACTTTGATCTCATTTCAATAATGTTAATTTGATTGCGACCAACATGTCACACATTATAATGTGGCATATTAAAATCAATTAAAACGCACGTTTAATAAATTTATATATATTATATAGTAATATAATAATGTATCATAAACGTGCCACTTACTACATTTTACATTAAATTTAATTAGCCAACAATAGACAAATAGACACAAAAATTTTATTAAAATTAATTAATTAAAATTAATTAAAATAATGTGGCATAAACATACTGTGATTCTGTATGTTTATGCCATTCTGTATATACTGTGAATTCTTAAATTAAATTAAATTAGCCTACAGTTGTCCAGTAGACACAAAAATGAATGAAAACATAATTTAATTTAAAATAAAATTATTGAAATAAAATAAAACATATAATAAATTAATATAATGTGCCATATAATACATGCTGTGAATTTTAAATTACGTTAAATCAGCCTACAGTAGTCAAGTAGACACAAAAATGTAAATGTAATTTAAATTTAAATTAAATTAAATAATGTGGCATAATCATTATATACTGTGATTTTTAAACTTAATTACAATAAATTAGCCTACATTAGTCAAGTAGACACAAAATGTACATTTAATTTAAAATAAACTTTAATTATTTAAATTAAATTAGCCGACAGTATAGCTAAGTGTTCTCAAAAATTTAAATTTATTTTCATTTAGTTTAAATAAAATTTTTGAATACACATTTACAAACATTGCCTCAAAATTCTAAAAAAAAAGAAGAAAAAAAACTGAAGTTGTCTGCTCATTATTAGGTGTGGCTAATATGTAAGCATGGCTTTGTGTCGTGTTTTGCACTGAAATTCATTCTTCTCACGTTTCACTTATGTGTTGAAAGACTTTGAAATATCATCATCATCATCATCTAATCATCATCTTATTTTTTTTATTTATTTCCTGTGATGCAGAACTTAATGAGGTAAAAACAGGCAGCCTTATATCTTATCTGATAACTTCAGCTGGTCGGCTTGCTAGCTTTTGAATGTCGCAAAGCATTAATGCACCAAAACCCCATGAATCTTGTCTAAGGTTAAGCGAAGTTCAAGGTGTCTTTATCCCCCAGAAGGGGGCTAGGGGGGAAATGCAGATGGTAGAAGCTGTCACTTCAATGGACCAATGCTGTGGGAAGGAGAAACCAGGGCAGATGGCAAACCCTCAAGTGAGAAGCTTTAATTCAGAACTTACATTTCAGTATACAAGTGATAGTGTGCAGAAGGCCTTGAGTAGCACTCCAAAAAGTTAGGTGATGATTCTAAGCAGCAGACTTGAACTATTTCCTTAGTGCTAAATGATGCATCTTGCAGCTTCATTACACCTCCACTAGATGTTTGTGTGGTGTGGTTCATCGGAGCTTCTGTGACGCAGCTGTGACATTTCACCTGCATGCTCTGCACCACTGCGAAAACAGTATTTCACTTGTGTGCAGAGGCTCTACACTTATTAGCATTTGTCATTTAGCATGTCCAATTTTCACTTTCGTTCGATTCCGATTCATTTGGGAAAGTCTATTTCCATTAAGCTATAATGATAGCATTTTGTATTTCCAAGGAATTCATATGAAATGAAGTCTCTATTTGCTAATGCTGTACATGTTTCAGGTTGAGTGATTAGAGAAAATTGTATCTTGAATCAGGTCACTTGTTTTTGGAATTAGGCAATGATTCATTAAAAAGAACCGGATCATAAGAGCCTTTTGTTTGTGGTATCGGTCTACTGTAGTCAGGTTGTATGTTTTGATTCACTAAATAGAACCGTAACGTAACGAGTCTTTTGTTTCTAGAATTGGACTACACTGCTCGCATTGAATGTTATTGATTCACTAAAAATAACTGGATCATAAGTGTCATTTGTTTCTGAAATGCGGGTGAATTGTATGTTCTTAATTCACTAAATAGTGGTGTATGGTTTGATTCACTTAAAATATACAGCTCATATGAGTTCACGTTGCATGTTGCTGATAACTCAACAGAGAGATATTTATTGTCATTATATTGCTGTATACACTCTTGTTGTTGCATAACATACAGACTGCAAACTCACATTCACCGTCAAGGTAAAGTAGGATTTCTTTTGCTGACAAGCAGGAGAATAAAAAGCTAACAGCACACCTCCCCTTTTTTTTTTTTTTTCTTCCGTGCAAAACATGCCGTTTCAATGTTAGGGTGTTGCTTAGCAGTGTTTCTAGTAGGTTAGGACAGGAAAAATGCTGTATTGCATTCTTATAAGAAATCTAGTTTTGCATCCTGGTGTGAATCCACTAAAAACCAACCACATTGAGTAACCAACACCAGAGTATTAAATGTGAATTAGTTGTTAATCATTCAAATCATTCACTTAAATTACATTTTAATTTGATGTGCATATTTATTTTATGTTTATATGTTTATTTTATATGTATTTGCTATTTATTTCTAATTTGTAATTACTTTATATAAAATTGTTCAGCTTTAGTCAAATTTAAAATGCTGACTTGAGAGGTGAAGTAAACACATTAGTTCTAATCATATGGTAAACAAGACACTTGGGCTTATGCTAATGAAATACATGCGCAATCGAATATTTATTAGGGTAATGTTTATTAATAAAACATGAGTATTGAGACGGCTAGGTTTGTACACCATCTTCCAAAACAAACACTGAGTGCACAGCATGTACAAGCAGAATACTGACACAAGCTCACTGACAACATGTTGATTATGAGGTTCAAATTATAAACTAAATATTCAGTACATCTTTGTCACAATATATGTATATTCTTCGCAGATATTTCGCAGTTCAGATTACATTACAGCAAACACACTAAAACACAGACAACAACATATTTGTACATTGTAGTTCTAAAACAAAGGGCAACAAAGTAGTGTGAAACAGGTCTAATATCTACTCATTCCATTTCCAAATTAAAAATGCCATGACACTTTTAAAGGGTTGATAAAGCAATACACTTTCATGCAGATTTACATTGTACCTGAAGCAAGGCATCAAATTTCTGATGTAGCAATCACTGAAACTCTGAAATGAATACCCATCATCTTGTTTTATTTATTTATATTGCCTATTTATTTGTTTAAGATATTGTGTATGAATTCATAGCTGTATTGTTCAAATGAAAGGCCATGTTATCTTTTGTCACTCATATCAAGATTTTATCATCTCATGTAAATTTCAAGGCTTTACACAAGCACAACTGATTTATCTAGCTGTGCATTAAGGCCCTTTTACTGTCCCTATGACTCGCATCATGTTTTGACCTCCGCATGAAAACTGTTGCTGAGAGCATCACAGAAGGTTCATTGGACAAACTTGCTATGTAGCATAATGCTGGAAATGTACAGAGTGAACAGTGAAAAGTACATTGTAGAAAATAGAAAAACACCTGCTGAATGTGGGTTCAAGAAACTTTCAACACAGGCTCATTGGAAAAAAAAAAGTGTGATATAACACTGGTTCTTACGAGTTTCACAACACTTTCAAAGTGATGAAATGTTCAAAAATGTTCATGCTTTAATCGCTTTTGAAAATATTGTGCCACTTAAAATCATTCCTAAAATGGACTGTAAATATCCACCTCATCCAGCACTAGGGTTGCAAAATGGTGGAAAATTTCCAGTAAATGTAGGAAACATTCCAGAAATGTTGGAAACATTCTAGGATTTTTTTTTTTTTTTAATATTCCAGGGATTTTTGGAAAATTTCCGGAAATTTTCCACCCCTTTTCAATCTTATCCAGCACTCTTTTGGATTCCCAGGTTGTTAAACGGTAAGGGTCTAGCAGTGCCCCTTAGCTATCTTGTTAACAAATCCCCAAATGTGAGATAAAAACGCAATGCTGAAATAACCATGCTAGTTTAGCTCACTTCTTTTATCATGATTTGTGTTTCACTGGACGCACACCCAAGTGCTCTAAATCGCAAGTGCATCGCTCAGTGTACCAGGTGAGCTACCAAGCAAGTTTACTATGCCAGAACAGCCATGCACATAGAGCTGCTTCTGCTTTAAAATGTATGTACAGTATGTAATTGTTATGAGGTCTTAATATAGCATTGCGCAAGGAACCGTATGAAAATAAGTCTTTATTAGTCTGCCCTACAATCATAATTTGTGTGAAAAGGAATAAAAGTTATTGATATTTTACTGTCTTTTCATTTCAGCTGGAAATTGCAGTGAATTGCAGTGAAACATTTCGAATGTTTAGATTAGAATGTTTTACATTAGAATGTTTTTGCTGAATTGAAATTATTGTAATTCCCAGTGAATTCCCTCCAAACTGTGTTGCTTAACTTGTAGAAGAGTCAAGAAGATATATTATGCACCATCCCATCATATAAACAGATTGTGAGCAGTCAGAGTTTTAGAGCCTCATGTACTCCCATAGCCGAGAGTCGCCGATTAATGTTTCGATATCTGCAGCGTAGCAGGTCTTTATAAGTTGAACGTAGGTCTCGGTTGAAGAAGGCATAGATGAAAGGGTTCATGAGCGAGTTGGTGTAGCCCAACCACAGCAGTACTCGCTCCAGCCAGACGGGGGCACAATTGCAGAGCAGACCGCAGATGAACGGCCGCGCTGTGGTGAAAAGGAAAAACGGCAACCAACAGAACGAAAAAACTCCCATGATCACCCCGAGGGTGGTGGCTGCCTTCTGCTCGCGCCTGAAAATCGAGGCGCTCCGCCGTTCGCGGTTCAACAGGCAGGAGAGGGTAGAAAACTCTTCGGTAGCTGCACCGTTCTTCAACCCATACATGCAGAGCCCCTCTACGGTGGCCAACGCTGGATCAGGACAGGCCATCTGAATTGGGGGAAGGGCGGTGAAGTGGTGTTTGGCCCCACTTTTTCGGGCAGCTTTGAAAATCTTGTAATACATGAAAAGCATGACCACCATTGGGATGTAGAAGGCCACAGCGGTGGAGTAGAGGGTGTAGCCCACATCCTGGCTGATCAGACACACTCCCGCAGTATTGATGTTCTGAGCCCAGCCGCAGAACGGCGGCAGAGTGATGGATGCCGATACCAACCAGACGCCGACTATCATCTTGGCCATCAGCTGTCCGTTCTGTCTCGCTGGATAGGTCAAAGGCCGAGTTATTCCGAGGTATCTGCGGAAACAGAGGATACCGTGGTTAATGAGGTAACTTCAAATGACGTGTTTTAGCAGAGAACTGCATTCCTCAAAACGACTGAACCCAAAGATCTCGCATCTACAGTACCCCGTAATATGCCAGATATGGCTCAAAATACCTCAAAAGCACCAGACCCAAGAAAACCCTTCTGACTTGAATTTCATCGCGTTCACAGCATGTCAGATTATCCAACTAATCAAGTGACTCAGTCCACAAAAGTAGATATTTTTCTGCCCAAAAAGATTTTTGAACAGCACTCTTAAAAAGGTACCAAAAGGGAGTTTTTGCAGTGACGCCACAGAAGAACCATTTTTGGTTACCCAAAGAACCATCCAGTGAAAAGTTCCAAAAACAACCATTTTTACTTTGCGTGAAGGAGATTACAACAATCTAAAGACCCTTTTTCCACTATAAAGAACCTTTTGTGGAATGGAAAGTTTCCATGGATGCTAAAGGTTCTTAATGGAACCAGATAACTGAACATGCCTACGCCACTACTACATAGTGGGTGAAAAACAGTATGTGAGAAGAGTAGTATGTCTGAATTCACCGCATTCATAAAAAGGTAAATGAAAAGTACCCGGATGGTCTACTACTTCTGCCGAGATACTCGAGAGTTGTGAATGGCAGTGAAATGACGCAACTGGCACATGACGATGTCAACATGGCGAATGTAGTATATGTAGATTGGTTGGTACTTGATTCACACACAGTCAGTTGTTAATTTCTTATTAATGCACTCAATGTCAGTAGCAAAAAAAAGCTCGATTTCTCGGTGCAAATTAAACTTGCATTGAGATGTTCAACGTGATGGCTTTGTCAAAAAGTTTCAGACAGCATTAGCGCATTCTCTCTGCATGGCTTCAAAAGCTTTTAAAAAAACTCTCATAATGTTCCCCATTATGAATATGTAATGTTTGGATTAGCAGTCTTTCTTGCTGCATCTCTCTCTTCTCTGTCTTATGACGTAGTAATAGTGTTTATAGGTAACCCTGGGCACGAAAGAAGGACTATAGCCTCTGTTATGAATTATCTATCTAATTTCACTGAAACAAGACAACGAGACTGAAATGCACTTCTAAAGTGTACATTCTGTCATTGGAGCTGTGGCTTGCTGGTTATTGCAATCCATAACACGTTTAGCCTTGGGTCTCTTGTGGGTGATGTGAGTTTAAATCTGTGAAAAATCACACTCTCTACAACTTTCCCACAAAACACTGCATTCATCAAAATCTGGTTTCATCAAAAAGGTTCTATGGATCTAAATTTTGAATGTAACATACCGTACACTGGCTTCGCTTTACCTACTAAAGCAGAAAGTCTCTATTCCCCTGCCCACCTCTAAAAATAAAAGCTTTCATTTCACGCTTGAGAATCCCTCTGATCAAGGAAAGGCTTAGAGACACACTTATTGGATCGGACACTTAAGGTAGTTAAAACCTGTCATACACCTACATAGAAACTCCAAATAAATCGTTGGACCACAAAACCATTTCATATTAGTTTCTAAAATGTTCTCTTTACCTTACTTATTTATTTTCTGACAGTTAAAATATAATACGTTTTAGATATAGACTATTAACCCAACTTAATTATATATTAGGAAAAAATTATTATTGTTATTATTTACTTTTAAAAGAGGTTTGTTCAAATAACCCTACATATGCCCAATAGGATTAGTGATGTTAGCAAGGCACACTCATGATTTGCTGATGTTTGAAAGCCTCTTCTTGGCATAATACAGCTGGATGGACATCTTTTGATGATGAGTACTGTCTACACTTCTGTTTGCTCTTTGTGTCCCCCGTCATACTGGATGAAATGCAGAATACTTGCACAAGCCTCTCAGAAAATAGGAAATAATAACTGGATTAAAACAGTACTCGGTTCATAAGTGGTATTGGAGATGAACAATATAGTCTGGGGCACTTCTCAAGAATAGGCAGCTGCTGACTGAAGATCAATAAGCGGAAGTTACTGAGACTCTTAATGAGTCAGAAATGATTCAAGAACCATAAGCAATGGAAAGCAAAAGATTGTAAGGGATCACAAGGTCAGACACTGGTCAAATACTTGAATAAAAGCATGTTTTGCGTGCCATTATTCGGTCTATAGAGACAGTACATAAATCTAATGCAGCTAAACGGGAGATTAACAAGCTTTCATTCAGTCAGACTGATGAATGGATGTGTTTCAATCTGAGTGTGATCAGCAAGCAGTTTTGCCAGTGTGTGACTACAGAATTTTAGTATTTCTGTTGCAAAATCCAGTGAGATGTCTATGAAGGTAGTATTTTAATGCGTCGTAAGTGTGCTCTGACTCAAAGACTGTTCCAAAACTTAATTGTGCTGCCTTTTAAGACAAGTTTCAAAAGCAGGCCAAATCCTGAGCAGAATCAATTCCAGAATTCCAGAATGCAGACAAAGTGTTGGCTATAAATATATTTCTTTTAGTACTGAAAAATATATTCAAGTTTAGTGTACTTAAAACCTTTTTCCAATATTTAAGTGTTATTTTTAGTATTATTTATATACTGTTATATTTATTATTTTAAATTAGCTTTTATTTTCATAGTTTTAAATTTCAGTTGAATTTAAGTTTTAGTAATTTTATTAGTTTTTCTGTGTTTTTTTATATTTCTATTTATTTTAATACTACAGTTTCAACATTAATTTATTTCTTTTGAGTTTAAGTTTTTTTCCAGCTTAATTTTAATAAATGAAAAAGCATTTTTAATAGTTTAGTTTAAGTTAACATGAGCAATACTGTTTTTTAATGCTTAATAGTATTGTGCTGTTAGCTTAGCAACATGCTAACATAAAACTCTTTTGAAATCAATTGCAAGACTTCTGAGTATATTTGTATCCCATTTGTAGCATTCCAAATGAGATTCCATGACAATTATCATGCTCCCTTAGAAAGCAGCTCCCATGTTGGCAACTCATAGGTTTTGGAATGCAGTTATTGCCACAGAAATATTGAAATACAGCAGTAGCCGCAGGTTCGTGTGAAGCTGGCACAAACTGAGAGTTTCTGTGGCATGGTGGTCAGATAAAAGCGAAATGGCAGAACAAAGCAAAGTTGAAGGTCTTAATATGAGAGGATTGTTATGGATGGTAAGGTGTTGATTACATCCATATTACTGAATTTGCACCTCAGTGTTCAATTATGTGTAATGAAAGGCACCCTTGAACTATCAAATATATCAAAGCTAATTAATTTAAGAGAATTGCAGTAGTTGAAAACAAAGGTATAACAAATGTTCTGCTGGAATATCATTAGAGAATTGTACTTTCAGTATCATTTACTGAATTTCAAACCCTTTTTGTGTGTTTTATTAAGAGGTCTTATCTGTTCATAATGATAAATTACATTAATTTACCTCTCAATGAGAGGATTGTTATGGATGGTAAGGTGTTGATTACATCCATATTACTGAATTTGCACCTCAGTGTTCAATTATGTGTAATGAAAGGCACCCTTGAACTATCAAATATATCAAAGCTAATTAATTTAAGAGAATTGCAGTAGTTGAAAACAAAGGTATAACAAATGTTCTGCTGGAATATCATTAGAGAATTGTACTTTCGGTATCATCTACTGAATTTCAAACCCTTTTTGTGTGTTTTATTAAGAGGTCTTATCTGTTCATAATAATAAATTACATTAATTTACCTCTCATCTGGGATGTGTTGTATTTTTCCCTTTCACATTTACAAAAGGGGGGACAAAATACAATAACAAAAAAAATGAAGTTGTAAATAAAACACTTGTAATTTCTTTATAATTATTTGAAAAATTCACTTTCAATTTCTGAGTGAAAAATGTTTCAAATTTTCAGTATCATTTACTGAATTTCAAACCCTTTTTGTGTGTTTTATTAAGAGGTCTTATCTGTTCATAATAATAAATTAATCTAATTTACCTCTCATCTGGGATGTGTTGTATTTTTCCCTTTCACATTTACAAAAGGGGGGACAAAATACAATAACAAAAAAATGAAGTTGTAAATAAAACACTTGTAATTTCTTTATAATTATTTGAAAAATTCACTTGCAATTTCTGAGTGAAAAATGTTTCAAATCCTACACTAATCTTTTTTTCAATGCATTCAGACCCTCTGAAGAACAAACAGTACCTATTTTACTCAGTTCATATCTTTTATTGAAAAGAAAAGCCTTGAAAAATGAAAAATCTCCAGCAGATACATAGAGACCTTGGTTGGTTGGTATTTTGTCATTGTCTTCTAAATGAAGCCCTAAAGTTGCCATAAATTATGACTTCAAAGTTGAAGAGAAAACTTTTCACAAAGCTGCAAATCTTTAAAAGAGAATATTTCTACAGCCAGCTATAATCTGTGAATTATTTAAGTTCAGCACTTGCAAAATGTATACTATTCACGGTATAACTTTAAAGATTAGTGAAATAGTCTTTGTCTTCAAGGCTGTGTCTTGCAATAGTCACCCATAAAACAAAGTGAAAGGATTGTTTTAAAATATTTGCATAATTCTCAGCCCACGACTAGGCAAGGAAATATTTTCAAAGGTCATTGGATAATACTGTTTAAATCGTGACAAGAAGAGTGTTTGCAAAAACAAAACAAACAAAAAAACTGCTAATATCCTACAAATAAATAAATAAATATTACAAATAAAAAATGAATCATTAGCTGCTAAGCAGTGTTAAATAATAGATTAATCATGTGAAAAAAATTAGCAAATATCCAATACCATTTGATATGACCGCTCTGAAACATTCTTTTACATTTTATTGTAATTTATAATTACATTTAACAAAAAAGTTATATAGGCAAATATAACAGAGGCACCATTAGCCGAGGTTATTCTACATACAGGCATCTAAATTGCACCTTGTGCTGTTGTACGAATGCCAGAAACATTCCTAGGTTTAAAGCAGGGGATACATGTTATTGTCAGGCCAGTGCTCATCACTGAGACATGTGCAAGCACCTAAGTATTTAATTGAATTACCACGGTCAAGCAGGGTGTTTCAGCATGCAGTACTCACCTCCTGGGGTTCCAGCTCAGAACTTTATCAAAGAGCACCATCAAAATTGCATACACACCAGGACGCAGCTTCAATAGTTCATCCAGCCTCAAATGACATGGAAGCTCTAGTGTTTTTTTTTTTTTCACTTTTATGAAAAAATATGAATAAATGCAATGCTTAACAGATTACAAGCTCGTGTACTTTCAATTAGGAGACATTTTGGTATTTTAGTTATAGTTTGTGTTGATATTTTATAAGGTTTGGAGTCAAAAATACAATTAAATGCTTATTTTCTCTAGATATGTGTGTTGGGGAAAAAATCCATATATTTTATTTTGCAGTAGCTTTTGGATAAAGGCCAGATTCAGGTAAAGGTAGATTTTAACAGTTATTTTGTATTATTATTTATTTGAATTTTTGTTTATTATTTTTTATGAATATCAGGTTGGGGCGGGTTTTATTTATTTCAGTGAATATTACTTAAAGTAAGGTTTATACATTTTTATATACATATTATTTATTTTCAAAACCATAAATATAATTTTCAAACCATAAATGCTGGCTACAACCACGCATATTACATATATATATATATATATATATATATATACAATAATGAGGTCAGATAAAAGCGAAATGGCAGAACAAAGCAAAGTTGAAGGTCTTAATATGAGAGGATTGTTATGGATGGTAAGGTGTTGATTACATCCATATTACTGAATTTGCACCTCAGTGTTCAATTATGTGTAATGAAAGGCACCCTTGAACTATCAAATATATCAAAGCTAATTAATTTAAGAGAATTGCAGTAGTTGAAAACAAAGGTATAACAAATGTTCTGCTGGAATATCATTAGAGAATTGTACTTTCAGTATCATTTACTGAATTTCAAACCCTTTTTGTGTGTTTTATTAAGAGGTCTTATCTGTTCATAATAATAAATTACATTAATTTACCTCTCATCTGGGATGTGTTGTATTTTTCCCTTTCACATTTACAAAAGGGGGGACAAAATACAATAACAAAAAAATGAAGTTGTAAATAAAACACTTGTAATTTCTTTATAATTATTTGAAAAATTCACTTGCAATTTCTGAGTGAAAAATGTTTCAAATCCTACACTAATCTTTTTTTCAATGCATTCAGACCCTCTGAAGAACAAACAGTACCTATTTTACTCAGTTCATATCTTTTATTGAAAAGAAAAGCCTTGAAAAATGAAAAATCTCCAGCAGATACATAGAGACCTTGGTTGGTTGGTATTTTGTCATTGTCTTCTAAATGAAGCCCTAAAGTTGCCATAAATTATGACTTCAAAGTTGAAGAGAAAACTTTTCACAAAGCTGCAAATCTTTAAAAGAGAATATTTCTACAGCCAGCTATAATCTGTGAATTATTTAAGTTCAGCACTTGCAAAATGTATACTATTCACGGTATAACTTTAAAGATTAGTGAAATAGTCTTTGTCTTCAAGGCTGTGTCTTGCAATAGTCACCCATAAAACAAAGTGAAAGGATTGTTTTAAAATATTTGCATAATTCTCAGCCCACGACTAGGCAAGGAAATATTTTCAAAGGTCATTGGATAATACTGTTTAAATCGTGACAAGAAGAGTGTTTGCAAAAACAAAACAAACAAAAAAACTGCTAATATCCTACAAATAAATAAATAAATATTACAAATAAAAAATGAATCATTAGCTGCTAAGCAGTGTTAAATAATAGATTAATCATGTGAAAAAAATTAGCAAATATCCAATACCATTTGATATGACCGCTCTGAAACATTCTTTTACATTTTATTGTAATTTATAATTACATTTAACAAAAAAGTTATATAGGCAAATATAACAGAGGCACCATTAGCCGAGGTTATTCTACATACAGGCATCTAAATTGCACCTTGTGCTGTTGTACGAATGCCAGAAACATTCCTAGGTTTAAAGCAGGGGATACATGTTATTGTCAGGCCAGTGCTCATCACTGAGACATGTGCAAGCACCTAAGTATTTAATTGAATTACCACGGTCAAGCAGGGTGTTTCAGCATGCAGTACTCACCTCCTGGGGTTCCAGCTCAGAACTTTATCAAAGAGCACCATCAAAATTGCATACACACCAGGACGCAGCTTCAATAGTTCATCCAGCCTCAAATGACATGGAAGCTCTAGTGTTTTTTTTTTTTTCACTTTTATGAAAAAATATGAATAAATGCAATGCTTAACAGATTACAAGCTCGTGTACTTTCAATTAGGAGACATTTTGGTATTTTAGTTATAGTTTGTGTTGATATTTTATAAGGTTTGGAGTCAAAAATACAATTAAATGCTTATTTTCTCTAGATATGTGTGTTGGGGAAAAAATCCATATATTTTATTTTGCAGTAGCTTTTGGATAAAGGCCAGATTCAGGTAAAGGTAGATTTTAACAGTTATTTTGTATTATTATTTATTTGAATTTTTGTTTATTATTTTTTATGAATATCAGGTTGGGGCGGGTTTTATTTATTTCAGTGAATATTACTTAAAGTAAGGTTTATACATTTTTATATACATATTATTTATTTTCAAAACCATAAATATAATTTTCAAACCATAAATGCTGGCTACAACCACGCATATTACATATATATATATATATATATATATATATACAATAATGATGTGTAATATCAAACTTGATAATAACATTAATAAAAAGTGTCAGAAAACAGATAAGGACGATCACTAGCCTGTGTGAATTCCACTTTCTCTTAAAAGAATCAAAACCGTTAAAGAATCTTTAACTGTTAATATGAACTTACCTATCCACACTGATCACACACAGTGTCATTATTGATGCTGTACAGCACATGACATCCATCCCAATAAAGATGTTGCAGAAAACCTCCCCAAACAGCCAGACGCCTGTCAGGTCAGTCACTATGACAAAGGGCATCACGGCTACTGCCACAGACAGATCAGCTATGGCCAGAGATACAAGCAGATAGTTTGACGGCTGGTTGAGTTTCTTCACGACACACACCGCAATCACAACCAGCGTGTTGCCCATCACAGTGACCGCGGTGATGGTGCTGAGCATCATCCCAATGATCACTGTTTTAGTCAAGTCCAAGTCCAGGGTCTGCTGCTCCCCACACGACTCATTACTTTTGGGCTCCGCTGTGGTTATCACGGTGGGGGGAAACTCAGTTGTCCCATTGAAAAAGGCGATTTCGGTCTCGCTGGAACCCCAAACCAGTTCAGCACCATGTGTCGTGAACATCACTGTATCGATATTTTGAGCGTCAATAAACCATCCGAGCGCCTGAAGTGGACAGTCAACGTCATGGTGCCTACGACCTCTTGAGTCCAGCAACAACTAAACACACAGCACCCGCTCACGAAGTCAACGAAGAGACGAGAAACACACACAGAACTCTCTCTCAGTCTCGTTTCGCTGAGGGGTAGAAAAAAAAATACGAGCTATAAGTAGTTTTGAGAGCCGCACTGTGAGTGAACCTGAGAGTGAACCCTGATAGACGCTAAGAATAGGTTGTTTTGAGATTAGCCTTGATGTTTTCAGCCCACGACACTTAAACAGAATGTAATCTTTTAAGTATATGGATATTGAGTTACTTTAGGATAAATTTATTAATGTAGACTAAGTCATTAAGAAACATTATAAACGAATATTCCGGTTCTGGTTCCTGATTGGTCAATACAGCGTTCGAATCCTGTTTTAACAGCTTTGATATCACTGTACAACTAGATTTTTTTGTTGCATAGCACGTTCTGTCAGGTTTTCGAGCGGAATTATTTCACTTTAGCTATTAATATTCTGTTTTATATCTAGCTATTATTGAAGCTATTATTTTAATTGGCATCAAAATAATAATAATAATAAATAATAATTCAGACAGAAGCAGTTCACTAGTTTTAATGCATTCAGTAATGACCAATCCAATTCCAAAATACTCAAGGTAGCCTAATGAAACACTCTCACACCTTTCCCATACATATTAGCCTATAGGGTCTGCAGTGAGTTGTAAAATTCAAAATTATCCATCACCATCACTTATGTTCCAGCATGATATCACATTTGAGAGGGGATATTCAGATATGTTTTGTAAGCAACCATTCATTTTGCTCATATTTTAATGTTAATGCATAAAAAAATAATAGCGCCCTCTCTGTGCAGTAGAATGTCGCCCTCTGGTGATAAATCTTGGCTTCAAAATCTTTCCATTCCAGAGCTTTATTGCCAGGTATGTTTACACGAGGAACTTGTTCTGGTGACAGAAGCTTCCACAGCACAAGCAGATTACAGTGACAAGACACCGATAGTAAAAACAGAATAAGTAAATAAGAAATAATAATACAACAAATATTTTTAAAAATATATACAAATGCAAGGAAATGTGAATAAGAAGTATGGTGTGTTAAATAAATTATGTTTTGTAAGCAACCATTCATTTTGCTCATATTTTAATGTTAATGCATAAAAAAATAATAGCGCCCTCTCTGTGCAGTAGAATGTCGCCCTCTGGTGATAAATCTTGGCTTCAAAATCTTTCCATTCCAGAGCTTTATTGCCAGGTATGTTTACACGAGGAACTTGTTCTGGTGACAGAAGCTTCCACAGCACAAACAGAATGACAAGACAAGACACAGATAATAAAAAGAATAAAAAATAGGATAAGTAAATAGGAAATAACAATATACAAAAAAAAAATAAAACAATATACAAAATAGACAATAGATGGTATTTGTGTGTACATGTATGTAATGTACAAATGCAAGGAAATGTAAATAAGTATGTGTGTTAAATAAATACATGTATAAATAGTGTTACACATTTATTGCCAAGTTAACTGTTCATGAGATGGACTGCCTGAGGGAGGAATCTGTTCTTATGCCTGGCTGTGGTGCTCAGTACTCTGTAGCGCTGACCAGACGGCAACAGTTCAAAGAGGAAGTGGGCTGGGTGTGAGGGGTCCAGAATGATTTTGCCAGCTCTTTTACTCACTCTGGATGAGTGCAGTTCTTGGAGAGTGGGGAGGGTTGGTTGTACCAGTGATTTGCTCAGCAGTCTGGACTATCCGCTGCAATCTTCTAAGGTCTGATTTGGTAACTTAGCTGAACCAGACAGTTGTTGAAGTGCAGAGGACTGATTCAATGACTGCAGAGTAGAACTGTATCAGCAGCTCCTGTGGCAGGTTGGACTTCCTCAGCAGGCGAAGGAAGTACAGCCTCTGCTGGGCCGTTTTGACAATGGAGTCTATGTGGAACTCCCACTTCAGGTCCTGAGAGATGGTGGTGCCCAGGAACTTGAATGACTCCACTGTTGTTACAGTGCTGTCCATGATGGTGAGTGGGGGGAGTGCAGGGGGTTCCTCCTGAAGTCCACTATCGTCTCCACTGTTTTGAGCGTGTTCAGCTCCAGGTTGCTATAACTGCACCAGACAGCCAGCTCTTTAACCTCCTGTCTGTAAGCAGACTCATCTCCGTCCTGGATGAGGCTGATAAGTGTGGTGTCATCTGCAAACTTCAGGAGTTTGACAGAGGGATGTGCAGTCATTGGTGTAGAGGGAGAAGAGCAGTGGGGAGAGCACACATCCCTGGGGGTTGCCAGTGCTGATCGTACTGGATGAGAATTTTCCCAGCCTCACCAGCTGCTGCCTGTCTGTCAGGAAGCTGGTGATCCACTGACAGATGGAGGTGGGCACAGAGAGCTGAGTTAATTTTGACAGGAGGAGGTTTGGGATGATAGTGTTGAAGGCTGAGCTGAAATCCACAAACAGGATCCTCATATAAGTCCCTGGTTTGTCCAGATTTTGTAGGATGTAGTGCAGTCCCATGTTGACTGCATCATCCACAGACCTGTTTGCTTGGTAAGCAAACTGCAGGGGGTCCAGCAAAGGTCCAGTGATGACCTTCAGGTGGACCAGCACCAGTCTTTCAAATGACTTCATGACCACAGACGTTAAAGCAACAGGTCTGTAATCCTTCAGTCCTGTGATTTTGGGTTTCTTTGGGATGGGGATGATGATGAAGTGTTTGAAGCAGGAATGGCCTTCGCACAGCTCCAGTGATCTGTTGAAGATCTGTGTGAAGATGGGGGCCAGCTGGTCAACACAGGATTTCAGACAGGCTGGTGTAACGCCGTCTGGGCCTGGTGCTTTTCTTGTCTTCTGTTTCCGGAAGACCTGATGCACATCCCTTTCACAGACCTGAAGTGCAGGAGGGGGAGAGGGGGGTTGCTTGAGGTGTTAATAGATCCATGGAGAGAAGATCAGAATGGGTGTGGGGTGTGAGACAGGGTTTTTCAAACCTGCAATAGAACTCATTCAAATCGTCAGCCAGTTGTTGATTCAAAATAGTGCTGGGGGATGGTGTCTTGTAATTGGTGATATCTTTCAATCCTTTCCACACTGATGCAGGGTCATTGTCTGAAAACTGGTTTCTCAGCTTTTCGGAGTAGTTTCTCTTAGCCACTCTGATCTCCTTTGTCAGTGTATTTTTTGCCTATGAATCTAGAATAGCCTACATCAAATTAGCTACACGATGGGCAGTGTTGGGAAGGTCACTTTGGAAATGTTATAGGTTACAGATTACAAGTTACCCATTCAAAATGTAATAAGTAGTGTAACTATTTCAATTACTTTATTAAAGTAATGTAACTGATTACATTTAATTACTTTTCTAAATTTCTAACGAATGTTTTCAACTGCTAATCATTTTCAAACATTTAAACCAGGCAGCATTAACCTTACAGTACTCAACACTAATAACTGTCAGACTTTCAACATTTTTCTTCATTTGAATTAAGATTTTAATAATTTAATTTTAAAGCACAGTCACCACAAAATCAGACTTTAGCACCTCTTTTTTTACTTTGAGATGGTTCCAATTTTTTATTTTAAAATTTCCAGCACTGAAATGGATTTTTATCACTTGCCATGGTGGCAGCTCCCTATAGCCTAAAGTTTTCAGCAGCAATGTGGATTGATGCATTGGTAGACGTTGTGCACTGCAAATTCAAACAAGAGAACCAATCAAAAGCATCAGAATAGCATCGCTTTACTAAATGGCCTTCAAATGACAGGAGGCACTGTGCATATCAAAACAGGCAAAGCTCAGTTATATTATTCAACACTTTTTGAGCCTTTTGCAGAAAATATTCAGATGTGACCCCCTTAGTAATCGTTAACATTTTCATAAGTAACTGTAATTTAATTACACATTTTTCTCAGGAACTGTATACAGTTACATTTATTTTGTAATTACGGAACGCTGTTGCATGTAACTAGTTACTTGTAAATTAGCACTCTCTTTATTATAAATTGATATTTTAAATGTAGGCCTACTTTGTCATATTTATACCATCTTTATGGCTACTGTGTCTGTTAAATCAACAACATTATTCACAGTTTCTCTGATTCAATTTTTTAAAGAAAAGAAAACAATAGGTCTGACCTAAAGACTAAATGAGAATATTTTTCCCATATGCAGGTAATTATGGGGTGGTAGAATGTAGTTTTACCATACATCTTTCAAGTCAACAATGAAACAATCAGACGTTTCTCTAGTTGACCACTGGGTGACAATGCTGGATTACTGTTTATTAATTCTCTCCTATTCATAATTCTAACCTCCTCCTTCTTGTGTGTTTCTATTAATGTACTGTCTGGATATATAAAAATATTCACGTCATCAAGATTATCCTAGCGGATAATTGCATAGCAATGCATATAACTGACGTCATATAGCGTTAGATGTGTGTTAAAAACTACAGTACCCACAAACATATGTGCTGAGAAGAAGCCGCCATGTTGTAGGAAATCCGTTTGCATTGTGAATTAGAGTTTAATTCGCAAGAAGGGAGTCAGGGCGAGTCAGTGGATCAAAGAAGAATGAAGAAAGACAAAACATTGAGACACGAAAATCGATCGTTACAATAAAATCGAACCAGAATACGCATTTATTATTTACAAGCCACTGTGCTCGCTTGACAAAAACAGGCAACATCTCGTACAAAGCCTTTTATTGTCGCGCTGCTCACTCTGCCTCAGCCTCTCCTCCTTCATAGATGAAGTCTGAGTCATTTTTGGACTCGGTTCTTTTGAACAGTTCGTTTTTCTCTCCTATTCATAATTCTAACCTCCTCCTTCTTGTGTGTTTCTATTAATGTACTGTCTGGATATATAAAAATATTCACGTCATCAAGATTATCCTAGCGGATAATTGCATAGCAATGCATATAACTGACGTCATATAGCGTTAGATGTGTGTTAAAAACTACACTACCCACAAACA